GTTACTGTCAGTTCCTCACGTTGTTTATTGTTACTGTGTTGTTAAATTTGGTTCCTCACGTTGTGTATTGTTACTATGTTGTTAATATCAGTTCCTCACGTCGTTTATTGTTAATTTGTTGTTACTATCAGTTCCTCGGGTTGTTTATTGTTACTGTGTTGTTACTATCAGTTCCTCGCGTTGTTTATTGTTACTATGTTGTTAATATCAGTTCCTCACGTTGTTTATTGTTATTGTGTTGTTAATATTAGTTCCTCACGTTGTTTATTGTTACTATCAGTTCCTCACGTTGTTTATTGTTACTGTGTTGTTAAATTTGGTTCCTCACGTTGTGTATTGTTACTATGTTGTTAATATTAGTTCCTCACGTTGTTTATTGTTACTATCAGTTCCTCACGTTGTTTATTGTTACTGTGTTGTTAATATTAGTTCCTCACGTTGTTTATTGCTACTGTGTTGTTACTATCAGTTTCCCACGTTGTTTATTGTTACAAGTGTTGTTAAATTTGGTTCCTCACGTTGTTTATTGTTATTGTGTTGTTAGTTTCAGTTTCCCACGTTGTTTATTGTTACGGTGTTGTGAATAATCTATTCAGCTTTTTTTGTTGTGACAAGGTCAACAGATATTTCTCTAATATGCTCAGATAAATAAGTTTTCAGGATCTAGCACACCATAAACAGAAGCGCCACATAGTGGCAGTTTAGCATAGATGGAAATACAGAGGGTTTTTGTGATAGCCATGTATTTGGATTTGTTGAATATCATTGCCAGTGTGATGTTTAAACGAAACGCTATTGATCAACTCTGTTTAATAATTATATATAAAAAAATGTTTAATATAAACGTAGAGAATTTAAATTATTTTTTGAGTACTTCAGCCTTTTTTGTCCATGCGTATTCTAGCGTAGCGGACCTTTGTAAAAGAAGATACAAGGTTGTTTCATTTTTTTTTTTTCACTTGATATTTCATAAATAATATGAAAATGTGCTAGAAACAACCATGTGATGAACAGTAAAACTGCCCACGTGTCTTCACATCTCTTAGTAGTTAACTGGACACGGTAAACACTGGATCTAACATTCAAAATGGCGCTGGAGTGTTATGACGAAAATAATCATATTTTTTTTTGCTACTTCTTTTTGAAATGTTAATGAAACTTTAAGCGTTTGAAATAAAAATTATCAGTCTTTTGGGCGAAGAGTCTTCGCAGAAGAGTCCTTTTATGACATGTTTTGAAAGAACTTTTACATCTTAACTTGTCAACATTTCTAAAATTTGACCTTTAGTAAGAAATAAAGAATAAATTATCTTTCTAACGATATTTCATTTAATGTCGTAGCTATTGTTATGTCAGTGTGATATTTCTTATATCATAAATAAATATGCGTATAGATAGATAAAAATACATCATAATTAGATATCACATATATTCCTTGACTAAGTCAATAGTCACGTGATTTAGATTTTAACTTACTCCAGCACAGTGAAGTACGAGATTTATACTCGTAATGAAAGGTGTTTCACCTTTATTGGATGAAAAGTAAATACTTCGATACGACATCCAATTACACAGGAGAAAGTTCTTGTTGTTTATTATTAAGTACAAAGCTACACAAAGGGATATCTGTACTCTGCCCACCACGGGTATCGAAACCCGGTTTCTAGAGGTATAAGTCCGCAGACATACCGCTGTGCCATTGGTGGGCCAGGAGGAACTATTCAATATACTTCGTTTTCAGTTATTAGTTCGTAAAGTCTGACAGAACGCTGACTCTACACCGAAATAACCGTAATTTAGAGACTTTTAGAAAGAAAACTAATTAATACGTTTGGATTTTGGGGGAACATCGCTTCTGTAATTTTGATGCAATCAAATTAGAACATGAAAATATTTTTTTCTGAGGGGAAACAAATGACTTTAATCTTCTAAAAAATCGTGTTGGTTATTCACTTTTCACAACTAACTGTTTTTTCTAATTTATCGATTTATCGATTGTGCGCAATGATTTCTGATTTTTGAAAAAGTCAGAATTGAAACTTGTAAGCTGATCTGTAGATAAAACGCTTGAAACTTCTTTTTTTTTGGTTTGCAAGGTTGTTTTTTTAACATACCTAAATCACACGTTGTCACTTTTCAGATGTACGTTTGATGGTGTATTTATTTTTCATACATATTTCTAGCCTACTTCAAACAAAATAAGTGTCTTTCAGCCTTGATACCTTAAAATACAACGTCCATTTTTATCCCTAAATACAGTAGACCGAAGTCTAAATACGCAATCCAAGAAAGGTTGAATACAGGCGCATGAACATTCTGGTAGTATATGATAATATGGAGCATATACGTTGTACAGTTTATACAGTCTCTGTAGTAAAGTGTTTTTGTGAAAATAAAGCAGGACCTTAATCTAAACAACCACACGATCATATCAGTACGATAAAACAAAACACAAAAACAATCAAGTCTTCTTCGTGACCTTTAACCAACCTTAAATCAAACTAACCACCTTAAAACAAACACAGTTTAGTTACAAAACACAATGTATTTTAAAGACAGATTCATATATTTATCTAAATAAAGTCCTAAGAGGTGCATATTCGAGTTATTTTATACTTTTTACACATAACAACTGATCGGTTGACTGACCATTGGGGTCTTTGGCTTCCAGACCTTGGGCTTCAACGACAACAACGTTCAACACTGGTATGGGAGGCTGAAATAAAAAATAAACGTTCAAAATTGTAGAAAAAAAATAATGGAAAAAAGTTAACAGTAAGAACACAACAACGCTTTCGTTAATGTTAAAAACCTAGAACAGAGCTTTTGTTAGCATTAAGATCATGATACAAAGCTTTTGTTAGAGGTAAAAATCTGATACTGAGCAGTTTCTGGTGTTAAAAACCTGATACAAAGCTTTTGTATCAAACCTATAGCATTAAGATCCTGATACAAAGCTTTTGTTAGTGGTAAAATCCTGATAAAGAAAGCTTTTTCTGGTGTTAAAAACCTGATACAAAGCTTTTGTTAGTGGTAAAATCCTGATACAGAGCTGTTTATGTTGTTAAAAACCTGATACAAAGATTTTGTTAGTGGTAAAATCCTGATACAGAGCTGTTTATGTTGTTAAAAACCTGATACAAAGATTTTGTTTGTGGTAAAATCCTGATACAGAGCTGTTTATGTTGTTAAAAACCTGATACAAAGATTTTGTTAGTGGTAAAATCTTGATACAGAGCTGTTTATGTTGTTAAAAACCTGATACAAAGATTTTGTTTGTGGTAAAATCCTGATACAGAGCTGTTTATGTTGTTAAAAACCTGATACAAAGATTTTGTTAGTGGTAAAATCCTGATACAGAGCTGTTTATGTTGTTAAAAACCTGATACAAAGATTTTGTTAGTGTTAAGATCCTGATTCAGAACTTTTGTCAGTGTTAAAAACTTAATAAGGGTGAAAACAAAGAACAAAGTTCACAAGGAAATAAAAAAATATATTTTTCCTACCCTACGTAACACCTTGCTTTTATCATAATTAGTAAGAATTAAATACCAAGTAACTTAATGTTAACGACTGCCATGGGATTTAATCATCCAAGTAGTCGTGAAATAGACGAAAATTGAGAAATATCAGGAGAAAGAAAAAAGCAACAGAAGAAAATTAATTATTTCTCCTCGTTTCCTTCAGTCCGGTAAAAAAAAAAATCAATATTTGGAAGTAGATTCTAGTGAAACATTAACTTAGACTCTTAGTAAGATTCAAATTTATTCAACTTCAATCATTCGAGCTCGAGGTAATAATGACTTCAAAATCAGACATTATTATCTCCAAAGAATATTCTAGCTTGAG